CATTCGTAAAACTGGTTTCCATCACTCAACGTTACCCTATGTTTTCATTTAAAACATTTAACTATCTTAAAGGTTAATGCGTATTTCAAGCTCGAAATTTTCATCATTTACTTCATTCCCAGGTCAAGTCTATTACTTAACGTTGTTATTAGTTTGCAGTGTGTTAGAACTATTTAATATAATCATCCGCTTTAAAAAAAACTATTCCTGTCTGTTATAACGTGTAATTAATTTGTTCTATCAAGTCTATCTTCTGTACTTAATTAATTTCATCCTTTCATTCTACTGTGCACACACATGAACAACAGGGTAGAGGATACTGTGCAGTTGTTGTTGTTTTTTGTACCAAATTAGTCTTTCATTCGAGTCTGTTACTCCATGTGTTCAACTATTCCTGTCTGTTACAAACTTCACCTCATTTTTCATCCTGTGTTCGACTATTCCTATCTGTTACAACCTATACTTAATCTATTCATCTCAGTGGTCAGATGTTTTCAAATAAAACTTCACCTCATTTTTCATCCTGTGTTCAACTATTCCTGTCTGTTACAACCTATACTTAATTTATTCATCTCAGTGGTCAGATGTTTTCAAATAAAACTTCACCTCATTTTTCATCCTGTGTTCAACTATTCCTGTCTGTTACAACCTATACTTAATTTATTCATCTCAGTGGTCAGATGTTTTCAAATAAAACTTCACCTCATTTTCATCCTGTGTTCGACTATTCCTATCTGTTACAAACTTCACCTCATTTTTCATCCTGTGTTCAACTATTCCTATCTGTTACAAACTTGACCTCATTTTTCATCCTGTGTTCGACTCTTCCTATTTGTTACAAACTTCACCTCATTTTTCATCCTGTGTTCAGCTGTTTCTATTTGTTGCAAACTTCACCTCATTTTTACAATATGCACCTTATTCTTACGTCTTGTGTTCAGCTATTCCTGTCTTTCTCAATCTGCACCTCAGTTTTTCATAGTGTTTTCTGTTGTCCCTGTTTCTTGCAATCTGCTCTTAATTTTTACTCCCTCTGTTTAGCTGTTCCTGTCTGTTACTATCTGAACATCATTTTATATCCTGTACTCCGGTATTCCTATCTGTTACTATGGGTACCACTACTGTATAGCTCAGCTGGGTTATTTGGTTGTCTGTATATACACTAAAATTATTCCTTCTTACTTCACTTTGGATACAAGGTTGTCTACATTGGGTACCACTACTGTATA